TCTTTCCCTCATGGAGTGCAATCTGAAGTCTTCAGTGCAATGGGAGTGGGAAAATTTGATATCTTTGGGCCCGTCAATGACCGAAGTTCCTCGAAAGCTACGGCATTCGGAGTGGGAAATTGACGGGCTTGACTATGTCTCTCTTTGTTCTCCGGGTTTTGGTGGATTAGGCAGTGGTGGTTTAGGTTCTGATATCGGTCATGCTTTCTCTACGAGCTCGAAATCAACTTCCATTAGCTCTTCATCAACTGATATGAGGACATACAACCTCACATCAGAAGCCAATGAAGATCTCTGCAGTAATGAAGAGTTGGCTAAGAGAATCAGTACTTCCCCTTGGAGTCTCAAAGCTTCTATCGAGCCAATTCTTGGCTTAAAGCTCGGTAAGAGGACATACTTTGAAGATGTCTGTGCAGAAAATGACGGGAAAGGCCTCGTATCTCCTTCAGAATCTCCGGTAAAGAGATCTAAATCGATTTCTCAGAGTTTACAAGCTCCACACTGCCAGGTGGAAGGCTGTAATCTCGATCTCTCATCAGCAAAGAACTACCATCGGAAACATAAGGTTTGCGAGAGCCATTCAAAGTGCCCGTTAGTCATCGTTGGCGGCCTAGAACGCCGGTTCTGCCAACAATGCAGCAGGTAAAATGCTATTGAATTTTGCCTGGATAAACGCTCAATCTTTTGTACAGACATTGTTGCTACTGTTTCTATGATTGTGAATCACATGAGAGCTATGGTATGATATTATGTATAACCATCGATTTTTTTGTCAAAGGTTCCATGGCCTCAGTGAGTTTGATGAGAAGAAACGCAGCTGTCGAAGGCGTCTTACCGATCATAATGCAAGACGTCGAAAACCGCAGCCAGAATACATGCAGCTAAATCATGGATTAAAATACGGTACTAATTTGAAAATTTATCTCTCTTTTACTAACATGGACACCGAAACTTCAGAGTAATAATCTCTTTGTGTTCTCTGACGAAATCTGAAACTTCGAAAAAAGATTTACTTTACCGATCAAAACGTAAATGGTTGCAATCTAGGAGAAAAACGGGCACTTTAATGAACAAAAACTTGATGGAGATGCATTTGAGATCCTTTATATGCAGATGGGAAGCGACAGATGGATTTCGTGTGGAATAAATTTGCGCTTGTCGACGCTAGGAGCGACGACAAGTTTATATGGGAAGCCATGCCCGGTTCAAAGTCCATGACACCGAGGGAATCGGTTGCGAAACCTGCAAAAGCCGAGAGTTTTGATGGCCGGATTCTTTCCAATGACAATAAGCTTTTGAGTTCAGCAACAATTCAGGACAGTGGAGGAACCTGGTTTTCGCCCCTCAATACCAAAATGGAGACATCTGAGTTCTTCAGTAAAGGTTTTTTTTTCCGCGGGTTTTGTATGTTTTGGTATCATACATACATACATACATGAATACATACGATGCATCATCGTTGGGATGATCCTTGTGTGATTATCGATATGCAGATATAGGAGAGATCACAATATCTTCTCACATGGATGGGTCTCGAGATCTTGATGGTGCTCTCTCTCTTCTGTCAAATGCAACATACCCGGTGAGCAACCTCGTAACCGCGAGTCACCACCTGGTGTCTCATCAACTCGACTCATCATTCAACAACTTTCAGACAGATCTACAAGTGGTTGATGGGCCAACAGCTCCACATAGAGACATAGGTAGCCCGTTTCAGCTCCTCAGTGGACAGAGTAGTGAGAGCTGTTTTTGTCTGAATCAGTTCAACTGAAGGTTCATCAGCTGTTGTCAAAGGGTGAGGCAGGTATTCTAAAACTCTACGGATTCGAGACGATAGAGATGGTGATGGCATTGATGTTAGGTTCTGATATGATCTGCGAAACCTCGGAGTTCAGATCGGTTTTCCTCCGTTGATTTTCTCGGGAAAGAGCCAGAGGTGATGATTCATCTCTCTTTGCAAAATCTTACAATCCATCAACTGTGCAAAGATGCTAGAGAAGAAAGAGAAAACGCCATTGGATGAACTCAAAACAAGAATCTGAAGTGTGATGATATGGAGGTTTCATAGATGGGAACCTGAGGATCATGAAGAAGAGTTCTGCTGCTGTTCGTTCAAAGTTAAAGACCAGACAGGCAGACAACGTGAAGTAAAAAAGTCCAAAGATACTTCAGACAGATCTTACATGTGCCTTAAAAGGAAGACCACGACATGTTTTTGGCCAATGTCATGGGGACTATATTGACATGCATAATTCTATATAAATTATGATGTTTTAATCAAATGATTAGTAAGATATATAAGATATAAAATTAATGAATTAGTGTGATCACTATAAATTTAATGTTATAATTAATATAATTAAAATATGATCATATTATATTTTGAATCATATGGGGTCACATGGATAAAGATGTATTGTAAAAATAGTAAAATAAGAATATTTTTTATATAATATCTATATATGTGTATATATATACAGTTGAAGATCTGCAGTGAAATATATGGAGACATATGCATAATTATATATAAATTATGTTAAACTTTAAATAATATTATAAAATACCCCATAAAATTAAGTTTGTTTATAATAAAAATATTCTTGCCCCCACAGTTCATGAGTATATAACCACAGTTGTATCACTTCATGAGTATATAATACACAGAAATGAAGAAAACAATCTATATAATTTTTATAAAAATAATCTATATAACCACAGTTGTATCACGAATTGATTTTTTAAATCATCATATTTTTAGCAAATAAATATAATATTATATATTTAGATTAACTTGCCGTTTTCGAGTATTTTAGTTTTTGAAACCATAATATTAAAAATATTATCATTTTATTAGTAATCATTAAAAACTGAAATTCCTTGCGCTATAATATACTCCATATATAAAAACAAAAACGAGCATTATTTTAATAATGATATTAATAATGTATCATATATTAACAGTTTAAAATATATATCTACAAAAAGATTTAGGATATATAAAAACCAATGAAAAAAATTTGGCATCATTTAAAAAATTAATTTATTATAAAAGTACGATCAAATATGTTTCTTTTTTCTATTTCATGTATTATTATATTAGTCAATTCATATAATGGGGTATTAATTTCGATGAGCGTGTAAACAAGAAATAATTATTATTCGTTACCAAAAAAATAAATAATAATTATTATTATTTTTTAATCTAATAGCAGTAACCATGCGTCACCCAAACACAGCCAAACTCTAATCTTCCATGCGACTGTTCCCATACCCTCTCTCTCTCTCTCGCGTCGCCATTTTCCTTCGAAATTTTCTCGGCTTCCAAACAGATTCTCGCCCTGTTTCTTACTAACCGCTCCTCGCTTTCTTCTCGCATTCGCCGTACTTGTTTCTCATGTCTGCTTCTTACCGAGCCGCCGGCTGGTTTCCTTCGACTGGTACAAACATAAGTTTTGTTCTTCGGCAAAAATGTCGGGGCTTTTTCGTGCGTTTGGTTTTTGTTTTTGTTCTTCTTCTGGGTTTTTGCGGGGAAACCGGAATTGGTTTGTTGATTGATGAAGACCAGTCGATTCTCTCGAAGAGATTAGGATGACGAATGAAGAATTTCGGTTTAAAGTTTTGCCCTTTTGGAGTCCGGTTTGATTTGAATTCCCTGTAACCTGAATTTATCACATGGGTTTCCTTCAACTTACACTTTTATACTCAGTCAGGCCCAGTGATCGTGCTACTTCTGCTGTTGATCATGGCGATTATTGATCTGTGGCTTACCGTTTAGTTTTGTCTGATGGTGTTTATATTTATGTCTTTTTGTTTTTTTTTGTTTCGATCCATGCTGTTTTTCCTGTTCTGTCCATTGACGGTTCCTCTGAAAATGTCAGGTTCCAGGCAGGGTTTAACCATGCTGGAGATGGATAAGAAGTTGGAAAACATTCCCACTGATCACAGTGTTCTTCATGATCAGGTAACTGATTGATGTGTTTCCTGTATTTAGACATAAGCTTTGTACAGACATTGTGTCTGTATTCACATGAAAATGTGTTTGATCATTTAACAGGACGTTGTTAGCAATCACTCGCTTTGCAGTAACACTGGTTCTCCGAATTTCCGTGCTAAACCCTTTTACAATGGAGGTTAGTTATTTATGTTTCTTGTATGATTTCTCTTGTGTAGCTTTAGTTTTGTGTTTTCGCTTTGATATTTCATAGTTCATATGCTTGGCAAACTCATGTGCACCGTGATTATGGTTATGACTATGTTACTTGCCTTCTAGATGTATAATGGATTACGGGAATATTGCCGCATACCCATTAAGCTGTGGCCATTGTTTTTATGGTCTATCCCTCTTCGTCTATCTCTCTTGTTACGAATACCGTGAAACTCGTAGCTGGTTAACTGTTGCATAGTCCTATTTTTACTTATAACTGTCGGGTTTTTTCTTATGAGATGCTATGATTTCTGTCAGGCTATAACCATGCAGCTGATACTCCACCGATATACCATTCACAAGCGGATATTGTAGGCGTTGAAAAAGTTCCTCATGTGTGTAACTTGTCTGAACTGTCCCTTTCGTCATTTTTGTTGAATTTTTATGCTATATATGTATGTGCGTGCTCAGTCGTTTCATATTTTATATCCATTGATTCAGGGAAACAACAATGAGAGGTTTCACTATGGTTATGGGTTAAGCTCATCAGTTTTTAAGGCATCTGCTGCAACTACTATTCGATCGTCACTACAGCCTTATGGTGAACTCAGTGCTGATGATGCAAGACATTTACCTGCTGTGGACCTGTCCAGTTACCCGCATCCTATCGCAGAAAACTTTCATGTTTCACAAGCAAAGTTACCTATGAACTCTGATAGGTTTGCAACTGAAAGAAGTTTTGGTTTGACTGAAGATATGATTTCTTCTCTGGATAGTTCTGGCTTAAGTAAAAAATTTCATAGAGAACCCTGGCGTCTGGGTTTGTCGCCTAATGGGGTTGAAGAAATTGGAGTCTCTCGTCTTGACTACAGTTTGAAACCGTTCTGTGGAGAGAGTTCATATCTTCCAACCGAAATGACCAGAGATTTTGAAATGGTCAGTTTCCGATCTCTACCTTTGCATGTGTTTCTAATACATTACTTGTTTTGATCTTGAAACTTTTTCTAGGCTTTAACTGTTACCCTTTTCTCGTTTTTTGTTGCATTACGTCTATTTTAATACCAACACGAAGGGAAACAAACTGCAAAGCATTATGCTGTGCAGTTGCTATATACTTCACAATTCTCCTAAGCTGATCAATCTCCACCAATCTTAGTCCAGTGCTTGGCCTTCTTCTATGTCTGTACCGATCTCTTTATAGGAAATGCCTTATGAAACTTCAAATGTAGTAGCTAACTGATGACACCTATGCAGGGTTCTCGACTAACTGTTCCAAGCTTCAGTTACAGAGAGCATACCTGCAATCGACGCAGAAAAGGCTCTTTCTCTGCATCTGCGTCTGGTTCCCGTTTGGATAATGATTATAACTGGACAGTGCTTGATGAGGCAAGACAAGTAGGAAGTTACAATGATGTCTTGTACAGGTGCACTGCCACTGTAGATTTCCTAACCGAGAGAAACAGAGGGCCTAGGGCATCGAAGCTAAAGGGTAAGAACAGCATTATAACTCATGATCATGTTGATCATCTCAACCAACATAACTGCACGGATGCGAAGTTCTTTGTTATTAAATCGTATAGCGAGGATAATGTCCACAAGAGCATAAAGTATGGTGTTTGGGCAAGCACCACTAACGGAAACAAAAAGCTGGATGCCGCTTACCGTGAAGCGAAGGAGAAAGAGGGGGCATGCACAATCTTTCTTTTGTTTTCGGTAAGTTTCTAAAGCATTGAGTCAAATCAATTTTTGAAAATAAAGAAGCAAAGCAGTTCGTAGATAGCCTTGGAAGGGATCTTTTTCCGGGTTTGAACAGTACGATCTTTGATCTTAAACATTAGATTCATTTTTCTGATCTCAGCGTCATATGAAAATCTGATTCCAGGTGAATGCCAGTGCCCAGTTTTGTGGTGTGGCTGAAATGGTAGGACCAGTAGACTTCGACACGAGTGTGGAATACTGGCAACAAGATCGGTGGACGGGACACTTTCCAGTGATGTGGCTCATTATCAAAGATGTGCCCAACAGTCTGTTTCGTCACATTATACTCGAAAACAACGACAATAAGCCGGTTACCAACAGCAGAGATACTCAAGAGGTATAGTATTGTCACATGTACATCTTTTACCGCTTGAACCATTGAATTCGGCATTATATGTTGTTTTTCCCATTCTCTCACTGCATTTATAGTGTCAACCCCGTAAATTGATCTCCTAATTCCATGCCCTCGAGATTCATTACCTTATATAGTTTGACAGCTCACGAATCAGCCCAATATGTGAAATGTTTTCTTCACATGCAACAGCAGTTACTGCATTGAAATTTCTTTGGCTATCTTACCATCTTCTTCTGTGCTTTCGAGTTGTCGGTTAGAGATGAATAACCTCAATTCTTGCCACCAAAAATCAAAACTTGTCCAAGATATGAGCATGAAGTTCCATAGATGTGGGAGTTTGTGTTGTCTGAAAGCTACTATGACTGTGTATATCTGAAACTATATCCATTGTGTAGTTTTTTTTTTCATCATCCCTTTCCTCCAAATCCAAAGAAGAGGGAAGAAAGATCTCTGCTGGTGATTAGGGCACATTCCTATTGCTTTGGTCTCGGTTCATATTTTGTCCAAATTTGCAGGTGGGACTTGAACAGGGTATTGAGATGCTGAGCATCTTCAAGAACTATGAGATGCATTCGTCGATCCTCGACGACTTCAGTTTCTACGAAGAGC